TGAGCCTGGTGTGGTTATCACCTTTGATATTCGTCCGGAAGATGATATTGAAGGTAATAGAGACATATGGGTCGATGTGCAGACGCCTCTAGTTCTACCATTATGTGAGTTCTTCTCAAATATATTTTTGTCTTTGATATTGCTTATTTCAAAAATAACTTACAACTAATTTCTATTGACAGCTTATCTCCATTCAACCAAACATGTCCGGCGCTTGGTAGACAGGACCTTCTACTATCCCGGAGCTGAACTAAACTGCGAGGAGATAAATCATTATGTTTCATGGCTTGAGGATCTTCATACTGTCAAGACAATTTTTTTTCCTGCACTTGGAAATGTTAGTACTCAAAACGTGCGACCAATAGTGATGGTATTGAACTACGGTCACATCTATTTAGGAATGATGGTAAGATATTTATTATTTGTCCTCATTACATATTTTGCATACATATTTTTTTTAAACTTTCATTGCTGAGTATATTAATTAAGTACTATACGATGTTCTTCAACAGGGACTCCCGATGACAGTTGTGCCTCAGGGGATCGAGACTAAAGGTCAGATGTCAATTGTTAGCTTAAGGCCAAGATATCCTGCATTGCACATGAATGCATTCAGGATTTCTAGAAGCGATGAATGCTTAATAGTGAAAGATTGGAGGAAAATTGTTAATGATCGCAGAGAAGTACTAGGGGGCAGCAATGAGAAGCGCAGCCCGCGATTAGGAGACAGGTTCATCGGCATGCTCCAGTATGATCAATCAGGAGAGCTATACATGTTCTATGCTATTTTACCAGAGAGAGAGTAGCTAGCAGGAGTGATTTAGCTAGTTCTTCATGCTGATCTTAATTAGTACTTGGCCTTTCATGTCCGTGTTCTTCGTTCTGAACTTAAGTGATTTGCTTTTGTGGTGTTATATATGAACGCTTATAATATCATGACAATCATGTTGAACTCGATGATTGGTTCTACTAGAAATTCTCTCTCTCTCTCTCTCTCTCTCTCTATATATATATATATATATATATATATATATATATATAACGTTTACAATGTGTAGTATCGTAAAATACCAACAAACGAAAAAAAATTAAAATGGAAACACAAAATTAAATGAAAAAGAAATCATAAAACTAAAAACCCCCAAATCTTATAGTACCGGTTGGTGTTACCAACCGGTACTAAAGGGCTCCAGGCCCCCGGAGCTGGCTCGTGCCACGTGGTTTCCCTTTAGCACCGGTTCGTGCAGAACCGGTACTAAAGGGGGGGGGGCTTTAGTGACCACACTTTAGTGCCGGTTATGGAACCGGCACTAAAGGGCCTTACGAACCGGTGCTATTGCCCGGTTCTGCACTAGTGGGAGGAGGAGCCGAAGGCGGAGGCAGATGGTCTGGAGAAGGAGGAGAATGTGGGGGACGTTGGGGCCGCGGATCTGCAGGCGGAGCAACACACGATCCTCGGTTCCCTCCTGCCGGAATTAGCGATGGAGGCCAAGCGGCGTCGTCTGCTGGAGGCGGAGCACACAGCGGATGGTCTGCAGGAGACGGACGCGGAGGCAGAGGTGGATGGTCTGCAGGAAGCGAACGTGGAACACGTCGCGGATGGTCTACAGGAGGCGGAGGCGGAGCACGTCGTGGACATCTCCGACGATGAAACTTAGTGGTGTATGTAGTACGTAAGAAAACTTTTCATGGTGTATGGAACTACGGGATTAAATATGAGGTATTCGGATGCATATCACCAAATATGGTTTGTGACCCGTAAATTCCAGCGGATGCGTCCGGCTTTTAAGCTACCGAATTTGCCATGTCGGGCTGTAGATGCTCTTATATGATTTTGCGTGTTTTTGTGTGTGCATTGATAGGCTGTGTGCATCCTATGCAGAGGTTGAGTGTGTGTTCGTTCTGTTTGTATTCGTTAATAAAATTCACCGTCAAAAATGAAAAAAAAGAAGTTAAAGTAGCTGCTTTTTAAGCTAAAAAAGAGTCAAGTAGCTACACAGCATTGACAAACGTACGTACTTGCAATGTTTTTTGTCGTTGTGTTGGGACATGGGGCCACTGCCAGGCTACCCCGGGATCGATCCCGTGCGGCGTCTGAGCAAACCGCCGACTAGCCGGGGCCGCCGGCCGCCGGCGCTGGCTACCCCGGCCACAGCGTCCTCCTTCCTCCTTCCTCCTCCCTCCTCCCTCCTCCTCCGCATGGCCGCTTCCCGTCCCTCCTCTCCCGTCCTTCGCACCGGATCGATCCACCAACGTTCATAAGCTGCCATCGGTTGTCTTCCCCAGCCTTTCTCGCTCGCGCCGCCAAATGCTACTCCGCTCGCCCCTCCCCGCCCCGCCCCTCCCCTGCCCGCCTGGAGGAGAGCCGCCTCGCATCTGTTGTCGCTGCTGCCCGCTGAGGAGGTGCACGCCACCTGTTCGACCCTTGGTCCGTGCTTTTCCAGCCTTCCTCCGTCGACTCAGCAGGTGCTGCGCCGCATCGCACCGGATGCCCTTATTCCGGTTCATAGTCTGCACCTCCTACGCCGTGCCCAGCGTCTTCGGTTCTAGGAGCTATCGAGCAGGTGCCCTCCACATGGGAGGAGCTGCTTCCTGGTGGTGCGGTGAGCCTTCAGCTTGTCCCCGCACAGAGGCCGGGTGAGCCTGGCTTGTGCCATCAGGGTCAGCACCGGCTTTGGGGCGGCGCAAGTTCTGCTACGGTTTCTTGTCCGCGTCGACTCCACCAATGCTGCACCGTGAACTGCCACCCTGTATCGCCAATTTGCTGGGGAACTTAGCTGCTTCGATTCACCCTCTAAAATGTCTCCTCGGTGGTATGTTGTCCTATCTCCTCTGCACCAAGGCTGGTTTCGCCAACCCCTATTTGGGTTGAGGTACTGTGGAACCTACCTCAGTTCATTGAGTTTACTATTAGGCTGGTTTCACCCTACACACTATAACCGTGAGCTAGGAAATAAGTACAACATAAAACTCAAATTCACCCTTCAAACAAGAACTAAGCTCAAAAAATACGAGGTGGCCCTGCTGCTTGCGACATGGTTACAGTAGTCTGCAGTGCACAATGCCCACCTATAAGCATAATGTATATAGAAATCACGCATGGTTAGAAAAAGGAAATGTATTCTCTCAAATAAAGAGCAAAAGGAAGTGGTTAGTAAAACAAATTTTTTCCAGCGTGCTGCAGTGACCACAGTTTCTACACAGTACTCCTACAAAAACCTAGTGATAAGTAATCTACTATAACAAATAGATCTGTAGCTTATTACGTGTGCTCTTGTTGTACTTCTCTGCACCCTGCAGAAGCTGTTGCAGAGAACTACAGAATTTGGTGCGGTGGCCTGGTGCCTACTTCCGAGCATCTGTGCCTTACTGCTTTCCTACCATTCATGCATGGAACCGCGAGCTTAACTTTCCCTTTTTGTGTGCAAGTTTAACATGTTTACAGGGGTGTGGTTAGTTCATAGTTTGGATTAAAACTTAAATGCTAGGTGTAGGAAAATAACAGCAAGTCGTAAGAATAGTAGTTCACATGCTGAACTTCATTTTATATGCAACAAGTATGAATATGCTAGGGAAATGGAAGATGACTAGTAACATATATACCATGCTTTCAACGGAAAAAAAGCAAGCCTTGTGTAAATAAAACTAGTGTAGGTCATCATGCACCAGACTAGCAGCGTGTGTGGGCAGTCTCTAGAAATTGATGGTTGTACTTCTGCTCAGTCTTGCAGTGCTGAAAATGCTTCTTTGATTGCGGTGACTTCAATGTAAACGTCTTGGATTGCTGAACGGTCTTTAGGCGTCTCCGCAGCGCATAGCGGGCCAAGCTTAACGAGAGTGGTGATGCAGCTCATTGTTTCTGCAGCCATTTGATGATTTTCTTGGTCTAAAGTACTCCCTGCTTCTTCATCTTGGTTCCCACAAAAGGGATTGATGACTCTAGATTTGGAAATCACAAATACCAGAGTAATGCATCCAGTTTTATCTTTCATAACATCTTCCTTATTGCTTCCTTGCTGGATTCCTTATCACTCAGTATTTCTTGTTGATGGCAGATAAACTGGGAATGTGTACAAGAACCTGAAGAGGAAGATTGGAAGGGGCATTTACTTTCCCAACATGCCTACCTGTGACCAACACTTGTCATATTATCCCCGCTTGCCACTGATTATGCAGTCCTACTAGAAAATGGTATGGTAAAAAAGTATTGTCTTGCTTTAGCCTTCTCTACCATGTTTTATCCTTTTACTATTACACAAGACTTGAGGATTCTGCTCTCATTTGACAGAGATGCGAATTGTCATATTGACGGCTTTATTTTTGTGGTGGCTCATACACATGGCCGGTTACTCGAAGAGCAAAGACAGCAGCACAAGTTGCAATGAGGCTTGTTAGACCTGGAAAGAAGGTACACCATGTACAGATTATCACTGTTATTTCTGTTTGGTTTCCTTTTCACAAGTTATCTTGTTTCTGTTACTGCATTTTTGTCGATAGTTCTCTCTGGACGTACTAGTCTCCTTTTTTCTCTCTTAAATTTGATTTTCTGGTTTATTAATAATCCCCTCTTCCCTCTACCGCGCAGATTGAAACTGTCTTCTCCAACAATTATTTTTTGTGAGAGAAATATGATATCCTTGGCACATGTGTTCCAATTTTTAACTTTAACAGTTTGATGTGCAAGTTTAACATCTTTACATGGGTGTGGTCATAGTTATGCTTAAACCTTAAAGTAACACAAGTTTATTAGGTGTAGGAAAAAACAGCCAAGTCGAAAAGAAAAGTTCCCATGCTGAACTTTATTCTATATAGGCTGAACTATAGTTTGCCTTCAAGACAAGAACAAATTTGTTTGTGAAATGGAAGATAATTCAAAACATAGCATGCTTTCGATGAAGAAAAATAAAATAAAGCCTTGCGTAAAGAAAACCAGTCATAGGTCATCATGCACCAGACCAGCAGTGTGTGGGAAATTGATATACTGATGGCTGTACTTTTCTTCAGCCCTGCAGTGCTGAAAATGCTTCTTTGATTGCGGTGACTTCAATGTAAACGTCCTGCATTGCTGGACGATCTTTAGGCATCTCCGCAGCGCATAGCAGGCCAAGCTTAATGAGAGCGGTGATGCAGCTCATTGTTCCCCCGACCATTTGATGATTCAACAATATACTTACTGCTTCTTCTTCATCTAGGTTCCCACAGCAGGGGATGATTCTGGGATCTAGAATCTCACAAATCTTCCCCGGAAATGATATTTCCACAAATGTGTAAAGGCTCAGGCCATCTTTAAATATCTCATCAGTTGGACGCTTCCCTGTGAGCATCTCTAATATGATGACTCCATAGCTGTAAACATCACCCTCCGTGGAGATTTTGCTCCCCAAACCATATTCTGCAATACGTATAGTTATTCAAACAATCAATTAGCAGAGAAGGATTGGAGCAGAAGAATTAGAAGATTTTCTGGGTAAAAAATAAAGTAATATACACTACTTGCATATCCAGAGAGCATATGAGATATTTTCCAGAAATACAACATCTTGTATTAGAAAATTGTTACCTGGTGCAATGTATCCAACCGATCCTCTTGGCCCCACTAAGCTTGTAGAACCATCAATTGTCATCGAAGAAGAATAACCATGTAGGAACTTAGCCAACCCGAAGTCACCAACACATGCGCCCATGACATCATCCAGAAGGACATTGCTAGGCTTCAGATCACAGTGGACCATAGGCGGCATGCAATGGTTATGGAGGTAATCCAAAGCAGCAGCTATGTCCACTGCTATCACTATTCTTGAACCCAAACACAATGGCCTTTTTGGATGATGCTCGTCGGGTAGTGTTGGATGGAGCCAATTCTCTAGGTCACCATTTATCATAAATTCAAGAACAAGAGCTTTGAACTCATTTCTTGCCAGGTCACATGTCGAGCATACAGTGATCACCCTTACAAGATTACGATGACGAGTGTTTCTCAGTGCCTCACATTCAGCAAGGAAGCTCTTTGTTGCTCCAAGTTGATCAAGTTTGAAAACTTTGATAGCAACTGTATGCTGTTCTTCAGACTCCATTCTACCTTTGTACACAGACCCATATTTTCCCGAACCAACTAAATTGGCTAAAGAAAAATCATTTGTTACTTTCACTAAATCAGCATATGTAAACTTCTTTAACTCCTTGGCAGATGGATGTGCTGCTTGTTTGACTTTTTTTCTCTTCTTACAAATAATGACTCCAAAGCATGATAACAGAACCAAAGAAAGAGCAGTAATTGTTACTATCTTTAGAATCTTGGAGGTGTACCACTTTTGTTTGGATATCACTGCATTACAAAGTGGCAAATCTAGCAATGGGGGGCTCGCACATAACTTCTTGTTCCCTTGTACAAACACCTCACTTTCATTCTGAAACATTCCACCTGGTGGTACTGGTCCCTCAAGGTTGTTGAACGATAAATTGAGAAGCTTCATGGAACTAAAGGACTCAAAGAAATCAGGGATTTTACCGGACAAGTTGTTCTGAGATAGATCCATCACAATGATGCCTCTCAAATTCATGAAAGATTGAGGGATTCTCCCATGAAAATGGTTTCCCTCCATGTGCAATGACTCCAAGTGGACACACTCACCTAGACTTGAGGGTATTTGTCCAGACAACTGGTTATTGGAAATATTCAATGGGCCGAGATTGACCAAGCCACCAATCTCTGGCGGTATTTCTCCTGAGAGTTTGTTGTGAGATAAGTCCAAACCTTCTGCAAGGGAAGAAAGAGTAAAGAGCTCCTTTGGTATGCTACCATCGAAGCTGTTACAAGAGAGGTTCAGTATGTCCAATTTTTTGCAGTCTCCTAGAGCTTCTGGGATCGGGCCACTCAAATTATTTTCCTGTAAATATAGCTCACTCAATTGGCTTAGATTGCCAATTGATAGCGGAATTTGTCCAGAAAGTTTGTTCTGGGATAAGCTTAGGACAAACAAGTTTTGAAGATTTCCAAGTGATTCTGGGATACTTCCACTAAGCAAATTTTTTTCCATGTAAAGAGTTTTGATGTTTGTGAGGTGCTCTATCTCCTGTGGTATCGTGCCTGATATTTTATTTTCTCTTAATAACAATACCTCTAAGCTCTCTGAAAGGCTTCCAATGGAACTCGGCAAATATCCTTGAAGGATGTTTGCATCCAAGAATAATTTCACCAGTTGGGTGCAATTGGTCAAAGAGGTTAAGAAAGACCAATCTCCTGCTTCGAGATGATTCTCACCAAGATTCAGGCTAATTAAGTTGGGAAGAGTTCCAAAAGAAGGCACAATACCATGGAATGAATTGTTAGAGAGATTAATCTCTTGAAGATATGTCGTATTGGCTAGTGAAGTGGGAATTTGGCCATGGAATTTATTCATTCCCATATCCAAAGTTTGGATTCTTGGAAGGGTATATCCAATGTTATATGGAATTTCCCCTGCAAGAATATTCGCACCCATGGCAAGGTATGTGAGTGCTGATATGTTGTAAACAGAGGCAGGGATACTCCCTGACAAGAAGTTGTAACTCAAGTCTAGTACTTGTAGGTTGGAAAGCTTACCAATACTCAACGGGATGCTACCTTTAAAGCTATTCTGTCCAAGCAAGAGCCAACAAAGGGAAGAAAAATTCCGTAGAGTAGAAGGTATTGTGCCTGCAAGATTGTTTGATGTCAGGATAAGATACTGCAAGGGTGAGTCAACAATATTGGGGAAAACAGCAGGTATGGACCCGGTAAAGTTGTTTACTGCCAGGGATAAAACTTGGAGTGATGTGCTGTTAAATAGTGCAGGCGGAATCTCTCCACCGAGGTTATTGTTGGTCAAGACCAACAATTGAAGTGATGGACTATTAGCTAGGAGAGAGGGGATAGGTCCTGTGAGGCTATTGTTGGTGAGATAGACAGAGTGGAGAGAAGAGCTGCTTCCAAGTGAAACGGGAATATTGCCAGTAAGAGTATTTCCGGCAAGGCGCAAAACAGAAAGATTGCGGAGTGTTCCCAACCCTTCTGGGATGCCACCAGTGAGCTTGTTGTCATCCAAGTTCAGCTGCTGTATATTTGAACATTGGCTTAGGTTTGGTGGGATCTCACCATTGATGAAGTTGCTCCCAAGATCAATGACTCGAAGCTGAGAACATGTGGATAGGTTGTTTGGGATCATGCCACCAAGGTTGTTTGAGCTGAGGTTAAGATACTGCAACCTACTCAATAGGCCAAGTTCAGCAGGGATCAGACCCGTAAGCTGATTGGATGGTAGGTGGATTCTTGTGAGGAGAGTGAGATTGGCAATGCAAGGAGGTATTTGGCCATCTAGGTGGAGCAACTCGAGGTCGAGTGCAACAACGCGAGATGTGTGCCTCTTGCTGCAAGTAACACCGGACCAAGTGCAGAAATGGTGGAGGGGATCGTCAATCTTCCATGAGGCTAGGAGCCCAGAAGAAGTGGCGAGATGGATTTTAAGGCAACGGAGGGCTTGGAAGTCGGTGTTGGCATCACCGTGGAGAGTTGTGGCACCTACTATTGAATATGTCAGAAGAGAGGAGAGGACAAGGATTATTAGAGGCAGTGATGGTGAGGAACCCACACGAGGCATATGCTTTCTATCGCACATTTGGACTTAGGCTCTAGTCGACAGGGTGATGCATTGAGATATGAATTCTCTACTGCATTTATAGAAGGCTGATGGCTCTGCTTCAATGATTGATGTACATACATATGAAACGCTATGTCAACTGTTATTGCTATGATGACATGAGCTCTTCAAACTAACTTGTGGAGTCATGCGGAGACTTTGACTCTGTGTCATGCTGCTCATGGGTGATGGGACATATATATGTCGTATTTTGCAAGGAACGGCCAGCCAAGTGGACATGTCATACGTCTTTTGGCTCAAGTTTCCTAGTAAAAATGTTCCAGTTGAGTTTTAATAAATAGGTGCCCTGCAGCATCATGATTTCGAGTACGCTGCTAACATGCTACTCCCTCCGTCCCATGATGTAAGACATTTTTTGACACTACATTAGTGTCAAAAAACCTCTTACATTATGGGGCCGAGGGAGTAGTTTTTGCCCTAACAAAGGCGCAGATCTCCCCCACATTAAGAAAGAATGCTACCTAGCGCTTGCCATTTTCTTCGGTTCTAGCGGAAGTTATGTCCTTAACTCCTTCGAATATGTTTTTCTGTCGTACGCTGACTGGGACTAAATGAACAGCTTGGCTACAGGTCGTTCAACTCTTGTCAGCTAATTTAACTCAACAAGCGGATGTTCTCCACTTGAATTTGCACGCATGAGGAGCGTTCATGGTAAAATCCATATGCTCCGACATGGTTAACAGTAATACCATTTTCCATAGGAAATTCATTTGGAAGTTGAAGGTTCCATTAAGGATTAAGATCTTTATATGGTACCTATGAAGGGGGCTGATTCTAACTAGAGATAATTTAGCCAAGCGCAACTGGCAAGGTAGCAAATGGTGTTGTTTTTGTGATCAACATGAAACAATACAATAACTTTTGTAGTAGTAATTGGAGATTAGTTCACGTATCTGATTTGATTAAAATCCATCTTTTGTAGTAGTGTTTGATTTCCATCCTTTCTACTCCCTCCGTCCCGAATTATTTATCTTAGATTTTTTAAATACAAATGTATTAAGACACATTTTAGTGTTAAATAAATCCGTATCTAGACAAATCTAAGACAAATAATTTGGGGCGAAGGTAATATCCTATAGTCAACTCAAATTAGCATTCTGAGTAAAAAGATATGCACTTCGTCCATACAGAAAAGAGCAACGTGTTTAGGTTGCCTACAAACTAATGCAAGATGTACGAGCAAGTGGGCATTTACTAGATGGGAAAACTTGGCTAGAAGTGGTACTCCCTCTGATCCATATTAGTTGTCGTTGAAACGGATGTATTTCAGTGCTAGATACATTCATTTGAGCAACAAATAATTTGAATCGGAGGGAGTATTATATTTTTCCTATTCCTGCATTTTGAGAATCGTGTGAATCAAAGAAGGCCATGAGAGTTAAGACTTGGTCATACGCGAAAAATAAAATCTTGTCGATCTGGCCAACAACTCAAGCAAGCCAGGTCTTCGCTCGGAAGTTGCACTCCATTGGTTGACAAATGGAGTACACCTACTAGTACAAGTTGTGTACTACTTGGTTGTCGTTAAGTCTCCATCAACTGGTTGAGATTGATGTAAGTCTTCTCTTACTTAATGCTCATTACTCTCTTGAGTAGAGAATTAATTGCACAGCAGTGATACACTTAAGGTGGTCTGCCACACGCCATGACCTTACACATCACACTAAGAGCAAGTACAATAGAGCTGAGTCAGCTGGCTATACAAAATAAACTAGTATATTCTTGCTTAGTTGGAGGAGAGAGAAGAGGAGAGAGAAGGTAAGCGGGCTCTTGGTGAAGAGCCAGCTCTAGCACGTGCTCCTAGGCACTTTGTGAGAGTGAAATGTGGGCCATATAATAAAAAAGTAATACACTATTCAAATCAACTATTATACATATTGGCTATAAGATGGGCTATAGGTGACATGGCAGTGGCTTATAGCCAGCAGTTGGCTATACTATTAACCATGCTCTGAGACAGCCAACTGCGCAACGCTAATCTGTCAGTAGCAACGAGGGCCACCGAGATAGGATGATTAGTCAATACCACTTCTAACCAAGTCTTCCCATCTAGTAAATGCTGACTCGCTTGTACATCTTGCAACCACAGGAATTTGGATCCAAGAGTGTTCGATGCCGCAGTAAAAAAAGGTTATAAAAAAAGTTTAGAGCGGATGTAAACTTTCAATGCACTGAAAATCCTATGAAATTACTTTGAATCAAAGAGCCCTTAGTATCATACCCCTCTGATCAACAAACAAATCGACAACCAGTTGGAAGGGCAAGACTTCATGCCAACCAGTACCTAACTTGTAGTATACTCAATTTGTCAACTAATGGAGTACAATTTTTCGAGGTACAATTTGCAGTAGAGGAGATCTGCACTAGAGTCGAGAAGATTCTTTTCTCTTCTACATGTACTCGTATGACCAAGTCTCATCATACATTGGGAGCTGACACCTAGAAGTAGTTGCTGTCTACGATGGATAAATTAATTGGATTATGTATAGATGCTTGTCACAATTTACAACTGACAGTTGGTACTCTGGAATGTATTCACTTGCTGCAGTGGGCTGATTATGCGTGCTCCGAATTATGGAGGGGGGAATCCGAAGCACTCTCTCTGTAAAAAAATATAAGAGCATTTAGATCACTACTTTAGTGATTTAAACGTTGTTATATTTCTTTACGGAAGGAGTACCAATTAATTACTCCCTCCAGTCGGGTTAATAGGGTTGGCATGTGTTTTTAGATCCTCAATTTGCCTAATGAAACAAGTGTTATATACCGTCAAAAGAATATCATTGGATTCATATTCGAATAAAGTTTCCAAACATATAATTTTGGTGGCATATACCATACACTCCCTCAGTCTGTGAAAAAGTGTACTTCTGCCTTTTGTTCTAAGTCAAAGTTTTAAAATTTTGACCAACTTTATAGAAAACTGTAGTAGCATGTATGACATCAAATTTGTATATCATCAAAGTACATTTCAAAACGAATCTACCAATATTAATTTAGTGCCATAAATGTTGATACTTTTCCTATAAAGTTTGTCAAAGTCTAACATTGACTTAGGATAAAAGTTAGGTGTACACTTATTCATGGACGTTGGGAGTAGTGTGTTAGTCAAATGGATGACCTAGGAGCACGCGCATGCCCTATGCAACCGTTTGGAGGGAGCTTGCATGTTTTACTATGATGTGTAAGTTCATGGCGTGTGGCAGACTACCTTGAATGTATCACTGCGCCTCAATTCTCCACAAGAAGCGGTAATGAGTATTAGACTGTCCATAGATTTTTTTCAAACAAGTAGGTTTGAGTGGATGTAAATGTTCCTCCAAAATGGTGTGCAGTGCACTCCTTAGGAATTTTTCTTAAGGGTCCATTCCTGTGAACCAAACTACATATGTAGGGAAAATTCATAAGGATCCGAATCCTCTTTAAATCCTATGAAATTCCTTTGAATCAAAGAACTTAGGCGAACTTAGGCCCCGTTCGGGGATCCACCAGCTTCAAGGATGTGCGGAGCGGCTGTTTTCCCGCTCCAAAACTTGGAACTACAGCTCCGCCCTTAGTATCATACTCCTCTGATCAATAAATAAATCAACGAAAAGATTGAAGGGCGAGATGGAAAGGGAAGACTTCGCAACAACCAATTACTCAACTCGTACTAGGGGGACTCTATTTGATAACCACTTGAGTATACATTTTCCAAGGTACAGTTTCCGATAAGAGACCTGCCACTACCGGAACAGGGCGCTACCCCGACGGCCAAAACAATGCCGACGGCCCCCGTCGGCTTCTATGGAGATATGTCGACAGCCTGGATCTGGCCGTCGGCGTACAATAGCCATCGGGTTACGCATAGCTAAGCCGACGGCGCCCGTCGGCATAGAATAGCCGTCGGCCTAGCTGAATGTATGCCGACAGCTGCCGTCGGCTTACAAAGGCCGTCGGCATACCCGTGGGCCCGGCACCCCCCTGGCTAACGTCGTCAGAGCTATGCCGACGGCCGAGACGGGGGCCCGTCGGCATAGGTCCGCAGGCCACGTCACCGATCCAGGCCGCACCGTGCAGAGGATATGCCGACGGCTGCCGCCGGCATTTCTGCCACGTCAGTGATCCGCGGCACGCCGCCCGCCGGCTAAACCCTGGTCGGATCTATGCCGACGGCTATGCCGTCGGCATAGTTAGATTTTTTTTTTCATACATATTTTTATGCTTTTTTATGTATTATTATATCAACTAACATGTAGCATGTTAAATATAAACATACATATGAATATATATGTAGTTTGTATTTTTTCATATATTATGAATATATATATATATATATATATATATATATATACAGTTTGTATTTTTTCGAGCACGTTAATAATGTGCGGTCATGTTCTTTTAAATATAGATTCTTATATTTTATTAAAATCAAAAACAGCTATGCCGACAGAAGTTTTGTGGCAGTTGCAAACGCCCGACACCCGTCTCAAGAGTGTGACCCCCCTCACGTCCGTGGTGTGCCCCCCTCATGGACGGCGCCGCCGCCGGCACCTGGAGGGGGGAAACGGACGCGTCGGGTCTACACGGAGTGGATGTAGCTGTGGTTTTGGCCCGGATGTTGCTCCCGAGGGTCCCTACGGGCCGACCTGACACAACCGGGTGGAGAGGTCCACTGGTCAAAGCCCGTCCGTGGAAAGTCAAAAGGCTAGATCTCGTGGTCAACCGCTCCAGGGTTAGGCGGGACGGGGGCCCTGGGGGGGTAGCAATGCCACCGGAGCGTCATACCGGGCCCTCATACATGCGGGGTGGTGTTGTGGCATGTCCGAAGAGGCGGCACGCGTCTCCGGTGCGTGGCCTCCCTCACGGACGGCGCCACCGCCGGCA